GAGAAAGAGAGAGCGTCCCAAGAACAACCGTGCGCTGAACATAATGGTGAGATGGCATGTATGGCCTACCGATGCAACACTCTCCAACTTTGCCAAACGACCTTTGGGAAAACGCCCCTTTTATCCCTGTCCGATCAAGATCGGCTAACCCCTTCGCCATGCTTACCGCGGGAAGAGATTCCAAGTGTCTGTAAATGTCTGTGACTGCGGACTGAGAGGAAACTTGAAACGAAGAGAAAGCTCCGGCAAAATCTGGAGAAATGGAGTTGGTGAGAGGTCACTGAAAAAGGGTGGGTGTGATGTGAAATTGGCATCTGAGGCCAACTGATGATCAGTTGGCCGGCTGCTGCTCGCTAGTCTCTGCGGCATGCACTTTGAAAGACGTGCCTCACGCTGCAGCGCTGCAGCTCCGCCAAGTACCACAGAAACTCGGGGCAAAGAGACTTGCCCCGTCAGCGCCTGCATGAGTCACCGCTTGAAACTGCAAGGCGCTGCGACGGCCGAGCGCCTCGAACAAGGCCGCGACAACCCCGCCCCCAACTGTCTTGCAAAGCTGGGCAGAGTCCCAGTCTGCCTGACATGATCCCAAGCCCAAGTGGCCCAAGAGCCCAAGACTGTACGGTCAGGAAAAGGCACGGCCTCACCACCCAGCACTGCCAGGTGCGCACTCTCGGACTCCGAGATCCAGCCTCCAATACTGTGGCAAGTTTTCGACAGCATCAGACAGATAGGACGTCCGCCTTCGCCCCAGGCCTCGCTTGCAGCCGCTTGCAGTTCCTGCAGCTTGTGTTCAAAGGCTGGCCTTCGGAGCGGACCTCTCGACGGCTTCGTGCGTTAAGGTCTGACAAGCAGTATACAGTGATGCTTCCGCAGATTTCGAGCTAGCGGCTAGCATCTTTCTGAATCGAATGACATTGTGTCAACATGCGTGTGGTCCACAGTCGCACCATCCAACCTGGAACACTTCTGCACCGAGGGCTGCGGTCTCTCCGATGTCCGACGAACTGTCTGCGGCCTTCACCTACGACAGCAGCGCCACTTTTATTGCGCCCAATGTTGCAGGTGACCAAACCCGGATGACGCGAGCGACGAAGCCAGCGTTGAAACGAACTCAGATGTCGAAGCCTCCGGCGCTTCTTTGCCTTGTAAACGATATCAGTAGACATGACGGTCAGCCGATGCGCTTTACTCCCGAGCCAGGGACGTGCGCCAACCAGACCCCCTACCTGCAAGTCACCGATTTCTAGTCTGCCTGTGTGGTCGAGACAGAATCGAAGCCGCCTCGGCAATGGCGTTGGACAGGGCGGCTGCCAGTCGCTCTGCTCGAGGCCGATCTTCAGCCATTCGTCCGGACGATGAGCATCTTCAGATTTCATGCGCCGGGTGTCCGGCTCATGCCGGCACTGACCTGGGCTAGGCGTTGCCTCGGAACTCTGCAGTCTACTCCTCTTATGTTGTGAGATCAAGACCCTGACAAGGAAGGTGGATGAAAATGAAGAGCATGGGGCAGATGCTCCTCAGAGACAGGTGCTCAGGGTTCGGCCAGCAGCGAACGTTTTTGCTTCCACGCCAAGAGCCAGGCAGTTTCATAGGCAGCACGTGGTCGAACGTCCAGAAGCAGCAAGCGAAGAGATGGCAGCTGCCCGGACGGCACGGCCTGCACGGAGTCCTGCCGCGCTTCCACCATCCACGTCACGTTCTGGTCGCATATGTCGCATGCCCATCACCGAGCTCGCGGCCAGCAACGCTGGATCAGAGGCCTTTCTACTATAGTATAGACTAGGGCAGCGTCCCTGGAATAGCTGCAAGCAAGGCACACGCACGAACTGCGCCAACACCTCCCTGGCGAGAACCACGAGCCTGCGCTCCTTGCCAAGATGGCTTTCCGGAGATCATCGCCCGTAGTGGTCAACGATGATCAACGACAGCAATATAAACACAAAAACTGCTGTCAGTGACAATTATTGCCGCCACAGACGATGTCCTTGTGTGACTCTGGGCGTCAGGGCAGTGGGCAGACGGCAGACAGGACAGCCCCGTAGTGTATCCGTCAGTCTACCGACTCACACCTGGTCCAGTGTTTCAGCAGAACGACTCCTGTGCCAACACCTCCACATGACGCGTCATTCATAGCATTATAATCGTCACAGGGCGTGCATGGACCCTTTTCTATCTATCTATCTATCTATCTATCTATCTATCTACTACCTATCTAACCCTATCTACCAATCTACCTAAGTCTATCAACATATCTATCTACCGACCTACCTACTTGCATCTATTTTCGGCACTCGCGCTCGACTGGGTCAGGCGAGGATTCCAGGTGGTTCAACCATACTTGCATCTATACATATATGCAGAATAACAAATTGAACAAAATCTGAATATGTATGTGTATAGGCCTATATGTACACAGCTATATTTGTGACTTGGTCGCGGCGCAACGTAGCTGAACCGACTTTGATTCTGATTGAATGGCAGGGGTGGTTTAGACAATGATTTTCCACGCGAAGCTCTTGAAGAGGCCAGCCTACGCGGACCTCATCTATTCGCATTTTGCTCGTTGTCGAGACAGGGAGCGAGAAAGCAAACCGCCACAAAGAGACTATACACCAAAAGTTGGCAAGCATGGGGTTGTGATAACGCCATTTCGACGGGTTTGCGTTTGCTCCTCATGCTCACATTATCCAGTCTCCTTCGGTTGCTCCTTTTCGCGAATTCTCTAGCCACTAGTCCCTTTCCATAGTTTTTGGTTAGCACTCGAGCTCGAGAACGTCACCGAAGTTTGTTGTCGGCACTATCCAAACACAGGAAGGCTCATCTCGAAGCACATCCAACTCCCTGTAAAGGCCTTCCATTGGCCTATGCCGGCTTGCTTCAGAGTGTGTGTGTGTGTGTGTGCACGTAGAAATCACATTTCTGCAGGGCCATTTTCTTGCACTTCACAGGGGAGTTTTCTTGGACCAAACCTGAAACTCTGTTTCAACCAGTAACGGCAAGGACCATGACCAACAACACAACAAATCCGTCAAGACCACCATCACAACGACGTTCAACTACGCCGCTACCAAGTTTCAGCAGCATCAGGATCAGGCACTAGATTCACAATCATCCTCATCATCCTCAGTATCTTCACATCATCATTGTCATCACAACAACCATCACTGTCATCAGCGCTGCCATGGATCACTGTCATCAGCGCTGCCATGGCCATTGCCAGTCACCACAGGCAGCAGCAGCAGCACCACCACCAGCACCAGCACGCTCTTGCGAAAAATGCCTGCAGAGGAGCAGGTGCACCTGCTCCGCACGAGCCAAAACACTGTCGGCCCACGGATGGCCGGAGCCTTTCTTGCGAAGTTGCTCCCGGACCTCCCGCCATCTGCAACTTCGATCTGCTCATACCATATACACCACTTCTGCAAGCCCACCTGCGCAATGACCCGGGACATTCTAAACGAGAACGACTTCGGAGTCTTTGCCTCAGCTGGTCACAGAAGCTGTACCTGATGACATGGACAACACAGACGCAGGCAGAGCAGAGTCCCAGACGTGCAAGCTTTCTGCAGCAGCCCACACATCCTGTAGCTTCTCCACCTCTCGAAAAGATGCTTCAGTCATGCTTTCCTAAGAGCAAGACTAGGTTCGCGCATCTCGAACCATGCTCAAAAAGAATCTTGCGACTCCAATGTGCAGGAAGTCCACCGAGGTGATGGTGGTGCGGTCAACGGCAAAATTCAAATCATCCTCCTGACGTCTTCAATCGTCTGAAAAACCACAGGTTCAAGAGCAACACCACTGGCACAGCCCAGGCTTCAGGGCCTCTGCATCGAGGAAGGCTTGCTTTTCAAGCTCCATTACAGCAACCGCAAGAAATGGCACAAAAGTAGGATCCCCTCGACGTATGTAGCGATGCCAAAGCCTGAGGTCACTCAGGCAAGCATGGTAGCACTCGCAGACCTCACTTCCCTAGACGTTGCGAGCCTGAGCAAGACTTGCAGCGGCGTCTTGTAGGCAAACAATGTGATGAACCATGGTGTTGCCTGACAGGGGTCAATGAACCATCATCGGTTGCCACTTGTCTGTCTAGCTACGAGAACCGGCATTTCCAGGCAAAAAAGCATGAGAACGCGGGAAGTCGGAAGAGTACCGTCTACATGTTTCGGAGGGACCTTCCAAACTGTACTATTACAGTAGCACTCGTCACTCACAGAGCAGAGATAGCTGTCGAGCCAGTGGCTAATGCAGCCAAAAACTTCGCGAGGCACAGAAAAGCAGAACGAACTCTCTGTGTGTGTGTGTCTCTATGTCTCGCTTTCTGTCTAAATGCTTCGAAGTGCCTCTACTCAAAATTGCTCGAACTGCTTCTGCCTGAGCAAGGCTCCGGAACCTTCGGCAAGCTTTCGTTGCAGAGACGCAAATCGAGCGATGTTGAGCAGAGACATTTCGATCCGTTGGATTTGTGGTAAGAACACGAAAAAAATAGACACACATTGATGGTTCTGCTTGGAGGGGGTGTCTGAGAAACCTTTGAATCACAAGCCACAATAAATCATCAATCAACAGCCACAACATCTGACTTCACATTGTCACGCTGGTTGCCTGCAACTTTACCGTCCTTCCTGGTATGGCGTTGTGTCACTACCCACAGGAATTTAACAAGCGAAATGACAGCCAAGTGGCATACACTACTGGAGCAACCCCAGCTTCTTCGAGCTGGTTGTGCAAGTGCGGAAGATGATACCTTCGCACGGGCGATAAGTAGCAAGAAGACTCGGTTGACAAATGTACCACGTACGACCTGTTCTCCTGGGACGCGGACAGCAGAAGCTGACGGAAAAAGAGCAGCGTGATGTGCAGGATCACGAAACCTTCCCCGTCATAGAAGCACGGCATGAAGTTCTGGGTGAACATCTTGAAGCATTCCAACGTCGTTGGGCACTGTGGCTTGCCACCTTTTGCAAGGGCATGATTAGCAAGCCGAAACTGCCACGACACTGTGCTCATGCACTGGCTTCAGAGGATTAGCCGAGCTTTTCTGACAAGTGGCTTTGAAAACCGCCGCCCGCAGCCTCACAAGCTGGGAGCATCAATTCCTTCTCGTTCGCAGACCCGAGCTGCCTCGATGTATGCGAACACGGCGGCAACCTCGTGCAGGCCCTGATCGTGCAATGACAATTCTAGAGGAGATCCCAACTCGGGGAGCTTCTAACATGTCCCGATTCAAAAGGTGTTCCCGCAGAGCCATGTGAGCAATGTCAGCTTCTAACTGCTTCACGCTTCCTTGGAGTGAACAAAAGGAGGTGTCCTACTGCATGGGTCCTGTGATTGCTTTTTTGGTCACGAAATGCTTGTCCAGCTTATGGGCACTTTCATGGGGCATGCATCAGGCTCCCGAGCGACGCCCATCGAGAATCTCTTTACCAGCTTTGGACTTTAGGGTTTCATCACTCACAACTGGGACAAGCCTGGCGAGGTTCCAAGTACGTCGACGATAGCACATTGGCCAGGGTAGGCATATTCACCACACCCAAACTTACTTTCTCTCTCTAATTCAAATCCCAACACTACTCATCCATCACATGACCTCCTTCCGCACTGCAGGATCACAACATTGTCATCCCAATCTCACTTCCTTTGCACAGCTTTAGGGTTTAGGGTTTAGGGTCAGTCTTGAAGCTGCACTCAAGAAACCCCGCTTTGCTTGCCCTGGCCTGCATGTAGCGCACGCCCTCCGCAATGCAAAACTCTGTGAGCAACTCCTGCAGCAAAGAAGCAAGACCTGGGGTGGCCTGAGGCCTATTCTCGGGCGCGCTTTGCCCTCACACTCTTGTAGTTCAGGCAGGTAAGGCATGGTCACGCTCATAACTCAGGCCAGGCCAAGGCGCACCGCACGCCGCACGCTAGCCGCTCGCGCTGGCAACTTACTGTAGCGGCACATGTGTGACATGCTTTGCTGCCTGCAGTCTTCCCCGCATCTCCGGGGTAGAAAACGCTGGATGCGCACCTCCAGCAAGTGCGGAGGGACCGAAAGACTTCTCATGCAGACAGGGAGCTGCAGGGCCTCGAGTTCGCAGGACGTCCACCTTGATGGTGTGGGCATCGGCCTTCCAGCAGAATCGCGGGGACAACCTTGACGTTGCCAGCATCGATAGCCTCGCTGACTGCAACGGTCTCAGTAGTGGCACCCACCTCCAGAGAAGGAAACGTGCAAAGAGGCATGATGAAACCTGACATCTTGTTCTACCGTAGCAGGAGCCACCTCCTGCGGCTTGCCGCGGCCTTACTTTCACGGCATTCGACAGAAGCATAAGGGAGATATGGCTGGCGAGGTGCACAGTAGATCCGGCCACGTTTGTGCACCTGACCAATCTGGGCTCTTCTTGAGAGTAATTGACAGTGAATGGCGCACATCTCTTTCCATGAGCTCCGAGCATTGCCGCGCAAATTCGGCAGTGGAGGCCTCTTCCTTCCGATGGCGCAAAGCACAGCAGGGCAGCAGGGTGCAAGTTCAGGGCATTCCATCACCACCTCGTGGGCGGCGTGGACTTTCTCGCCTAGCACGATCGAGAGGCCAAGAAAACACTGGAAATCCCTGAGTTGAGGCCGCCACTGTCCCCCATTCCGTAGTCATCCCATGGGAGGCGGAAAATTGCACGGCTAACCGTCGCTTAACATCGTTCGTTTACCACATAACTTTTCTGCGAGACTAGGACTGGGCCACAACAACCTGCAACAGAAGCCGCACGTGCACCGTTACAAGCAGATGTCGCTCGTGAAGCAAGCTCGATACCCTCCATGAAGAGATCCTGTGCATAAAACCTTTACTTGCCAACTTGAGGGGCCTGGGCGTGCAGATTGAGTGCTCGAGTCGCTCACGTAGACGAGAGTGTGCCAAGCGGAATGGGCCGGTCCTGACACCCGGCCAAGAGTAAGAGAAGATCTTGTGCTTATACCACTAATTAACGTGCCCGGCCGAAGCCCGCGCAAGCCCGACAATGATAAGCTCAAGAGATTGATGCTGACGGCTGAATGTTACACTTCATTGGACGGCGCACCCATTTGCGATTCGGCTGCTGGTTTCACATGTCTATGCTGCGAAGCTGGACAACGGCAGCAGCAGCAGAAGGAGCAAACGAGCCTCGTGCAAAGGGTTCCAAGCAATCATTTACACTGCTCTTCTGATCCCGACAAGCTTTGCCAAAGTAGTTCAAAGCTGCAGAAGGCCTGGTCCCAAATTTGGTACAAGCCTAATTGTATCCTTTGTCTAGAGTCTACAGTCTCGGGGGTCCTGACGATCAGAGCTCCGGGCTTTTGACAAGGACCCTCAGGGGGTAGGGGGAGGCGGGTAGCCCCCAAATAGGACAGGCTTATTTAAGGAAGCGCATTCCCCTACCCGCCTCCCCCTTAGCCTCAAGAGTTTTCCTATGAGCTTTGGTCTCAAGATTAGAAAATCGCATAAGCAGTCGAAGCCCTACACGTCTTGTCCCCTCCCGACTAGTCGAACGAAGTCACACTGCAGGGAACACTAAAGTGGGGAGAGTAAACTGCGGGGAACACGACAGAGAAAGCTCCAGGCGAAACTAATCGAAACTATGCAGTAGATTCTCCTGTTGAAAATTCGATCATTCCTCGTCAGCGACACAATAATCTTTAGTCAAAAACCCTGAGCGGTCTACTGCAGCGAATGATTCACTACACTAGTCTATCAGTCTATCTACTCTATTATTCGCAGTGCTGTACTGTAGCTTGCACTCTGCTATGCAAGCTGGTTTCTGCCAGCTTTCCCCTTCGTGGAACCCGAAGACCCTCCATCCCAAACACCTACAGCCCCTTACCAGACCTACTGCGATTCAATACATACTGCGTACACGTAATTACCGTACGATTTAGTTTTAGACCGGGAAGGATGAACCTGAAAGCAAAAATCACTAGAGCCCTGAACTCCAACCTTCAAAGCTGCTTGCCTGCCTTCTAGCAAGGACATGACCGAGGCGCCCGTGACTTCGAGCCAGGAAGTTGAGAGCAAGATGTGACATACGATAACGCACTATGCTGCGGCAGGTCACATGCCACACCAGACTTTATCTATGAATCTATTCATAAATCTATTCTATATATGGCACTGTAGTCCGTACCATGCGAGACCACACCATCCCGAACTGTGCTATGCTGTACCACCCATGCCTCACTGTTCCTCAACGACGACTCATGATGCAACGAAAAACTGTTGTAGTACTAACTGCAGGATGAGTTTTTTCCCCCACATCATGCTGTGGGGTTCTTACTTTTTGGGGCTGTCCCGCCTCCTCCTCACCTCCTCCTCCTTCTCCTCCTCCTCCTCCTCCTCCCGCCCCTCCTCCTCCTCCTCCCCCTCTCCTCCCACACACACACACACTCCTACACACA